TGTAGTACTATCTGAAACTACAGAATGGTAAGGGGTTCCCAAAGAGTAGAATTCAGTCCATCTTCTTTGATCTCACTGTGTGCAATATTAAGTTATCCTAAAAATTAACAGGCATACATTTTTCCTGAAAATCTGAGCGAAGCAGAGGCCAGGCTTGGTTAATACAAAACGAAAGAACCCATATTTGTTCAGTGTCAGGCCCCTTTTATAGCCCTAACTGTTCAAGCTTTACACCTGCCTGTGTTTGATTTCATGAAGCTGCAAGAGAAATAATCTGGTTAGAAAGAGAAGAGCGAGCCAGGCAGCACTATGAGAAGCACCTGGAAGAGCGGAAGAAGAAGCTGGAGGAGCAGAGGCTGAAGGAGGAGCAGAGGAGGGCTGCTGTGGAGGAAAAGCGGAGGCAGAGGCTCGAGGAGGATAAGGTGAGGTGCGGCCCCGGGGCAGAAGCAGGAGGCTTGTCTGTCCCAGAAATGCCGCACGCTTACTGTGAACCCTCCCATGGAGGTGCTGGGACGGACACACAACGAAATGGAGGGGTCAGCTTTCCAGATAGTCACAGTTTGTTGGAGGTTGGGTGTGGAAGGCAGGTAGAAAATGTGTGGTGGTGGTGATTATTGCCACAGAAACTTGAAAAGTTTATAGACGTATTTTTTCAAGACTTATTTTTTTATTAGTAATCAGTACAAAATTTACTGAAGATTTCATAAAGAAGAGAAGGTTTACATTGTGCACCATAAAGCAGGCAACCAAACTTCCCTTACTAAATTCCTCTGTCCCACACAATCCATCAAGGGCACCCCGTGTTCTTTTCACATTGGCCATTCCCCTACGTAGGGCCCGGGCTTGATGGAACCTTAGACCTATAACTTATTTATGTTCAGGTTCATCTGTATCAAGACCACTCCATGTAATGAGGTCCCTGTAGGGCTTTTACAAACATTTTCAGGTGGATTGTCTCATTTAACCTTTACTGAATCCTTGAGTGTTCTATATCAGTTTTTGCAGAAGTAGAAATTTAGGTTCAGAATGGGCAAGTTGAACAAGGTTATACAACTTAGTCATGGAATTAGGTTTTCCCACATCCTCAGATTCTAAATTCTGTATTTTAGATGTGGTACCACCTGTGTTTAGCATCTGTTTGAGCTAAAACTTATACCGCTGTGCTTATGTGAGTTAATGAAAGCCACTCTCAGTAGTAATAATAAGGATCATTTAAGCGCCTGTTGTATCTTTAACCGAGCCAGGTTGGTATTACTCTGACCTTAAGGTAAAGATTAGGAGTGCTAAGGTCAAAATTTCAGTAGTACCTCTCACTCCACTGTGCCTTAAGTTGAAGAAGCCTCACACAACCAGGTTGAACCTTATCATCACCTCCTCTGTTCCATTTAAGGAGCGCCATGAAGCTGTTGTACGGCGCACAATGGAGAGGAGCCAGAAGCCAAAACAGAAGCATAACCGGTGGTCATGGGGAGGCCCGCTCCATGGAAGCCCCAACATCCACACTGCAGGTAAACAGTGACTCTTTTAAAATCACTATTTCTTCCCTGGATGGCAAAATTGCATTTAGTTTTTTTCTAAGTCAATGTTTGCAAAATAAAAATGCTGCTGAAATAAACTCCAATGATGCTTCTCCTGTTTGAGGATAAGAGGGTGATGGAGGTAAGAAGATGAGGTTCTGTCCCTTAACCCAGGCTGCTTTTCTTTGTTAAAAAATTCCTTGAAGAGGAAGAATCTATGCAGTGTTTCTAAATAAACATGCCAGTTTCAACTCTACATTACTTTAAGTAATCATTTGCATAAAGGTTTTAGCATTATGGAACAGGTTTTCTTTTTCTCTGAAAGAATCATAGCAATATTGCCTGCACAAAATCAATACTATGAGCTTGTGTATTCTCACCCTAAAGTGTGATACAAGTGCTTTGCAAGAGAAGGTGAAGGTTCTGAAGTTAGAAATAGTCGTAGATGTCAAAGCTATTCCCTTGATCTTGAATGGATATCAAATCTTACTAAAATTGGGATCTAGTGAAAGCCTTTCTTTTTGTACTGTAAATTCAATACACCTTGAATTAGTATGTCAATCCTTTTTCATTTGTGTGAGTCGAATAACCTTTTTTTTTTTTTAATTTACTTTGAAGAATCATTGTCTTACATTCTGTCCCCAGGTGGTTTTGTTGAATCATCACTCACCTTTCTCGATTTAGCAGTCCTGGACCACCACTTCACAACTTTTGGTGGTACTAAAAAACCTGGTACAGACATCTCTGTGGTTGCTGATTGCCTGACCTGTAGCTAGCATCTCAGACCTAAGGCCACTTCATGAATAGCTGAGCCTTCAAGTACCTTAGCATAATGCATGCTTAATATCCTGTTGCATAGACCTAGATCTGGGACATGGCACAGTGTTTGTTAAGTGTGATAGTACAACTCCAGTGACTTAAAGGTGTTGAAATAAATACATGTGATGTGTTTCCTTTTTCTTCAAGTGATAATTTGGATAAAACCTTTAAAAAATGTTTGTAGCTAATAAATTACCTGGGACCAAAGGATATCCAATTTGACTCCCCTACCCCATCCCCAAGTCAGTACCACTGTTGTGCTTTTAGTTTTAATCGAAATAACTATGGCGTTTGGTTTGTTTGCTCTATTCCCTTTCATTCCTAAAATTCAGTATTTTCTATAGCCTCCTTATTTTAAAGAATCTAAAAGCATATTACCACAACTTATTTTCCTATGACAATAAATGAAATTTGAAAGGATTTTTTTTCTTGACTCAGAGGTCCTTGTGGCACACATATCACATCTGTGATCATAAGAATCATTTTCATTCTAGGGATAGTTTTACATATGTGTTCCATGCAGAAAATCTGTCATGGTGTATATTTTTATAAACTTATTTTTCTTTTTCTTGGCATCACGTTTTACATGTATATGGCAGAATTATACTTTCACAGAGTTTTGAAACATTTTTGAGGGAAAAGTAAAGTGGCTTAGCTTTAATTCTTACTTCCACTCTCAAGAGTTTAACATAGAACCTTTATCACTGCCACTCAGAGCAAGAGAAACGTGTTGTATTTGTGAGATGTTGGATAAAATCCATTTTTACAAGGGCTGCAAATTAGAGAAAATTGCTGTTAGACTAGAATAGAGATGTTTGGATCTTGAGAGTGGTGACCAGGTCTTTTCCTCATTTTGAATACCCGTTACTTCACAGCAATGCCTGACTCATGATGGGAACTCACTCAGTCAGTGTTTGCTGAGCAACAGAGAGGGCCTAGAAAAGAAATTTTCCCACATTAAATCAGTGTGTTGACTGCTCGCATATCAGCTAGAACTGGTTTATGAAACTTTATACTCTAAGCCAATTCTTTATAAATCCTTTTGTGAATTTGTTTTACTCAGTGAGAAAAAAAATGATTAAAAATTATCTTAAGTAATATAGTAAATACATGTTAATGCACATTATGCCTCCATGACCTTAACTACACAGGTTTGACCTGCATGTAGACACAGTGTACCACTACCAAATCTTAGCATATAAAATAGTATGAGAAAATGTGTTGCTATAAAATCACCTGGAAATGATTTTTGATATCCTGCGTTGTGCCGTAGACCTTCATATTTCATCAGTAGGATTTCCTTTTGATACTCTATCCCAAATATTTTCTTTATGTTAGGATTGTCCTAAGAACCTGTCAGCTAAGTGTAAATTTGAGTCACAGAAATGTTTGGTTGTTATTGTTTTGGATTTTCTCTTTTTAATGATCAAATTGCCTCATCTATAACATGAGTCCCAGTAGAAGAGAGGAATTTCCAATGTTGATGGAACACTTATTTATCCCCTGAAACACTTGTTTATCTGTGTACACTGTAAATAAAGGCCAGAAATGGTTATGCTGTAGAGAAAAGTTTACTGTGAAATTTTTTACTACCAAGGTTAATTAGACCAATGGAAACTGGGTTTTGAGAGCACCTATCACAAGAAATATTTTTGTTTGTTTTTAGTTTTAGAAGAAGTTAACAATAGAAAATAAAATACGGCAAATCCCCTTTGACTTTGACTGTTATAGGACAAAACCTATCTACCAGCCTCTTAGATAAATATAATAGGTTTTAATTTTTATTTTACTTCTTTAAAGAAGTGTTTTAGACTTTTATGTATGCCTTTTTATTCAGGGAACATGATTTAGATGCTAACAAGCATAGTCACAACTTGGTTCTGCTGTACAAATTCCAAGTTCAACTGATTTTTGCCTTTTATATAGCTATCATTTCTCTTCTGACTTAACCTGTAAGATTTACTCTAAAATTATTCGACTGCAGGATGGACAAAGTTAAAGAATTCTGATTTTCTTTTTATTGCTATCAGTGGTGTTGTGCAAATTCGTGGGCTGATTCTATACTTGGCATCCTAAACTTTATGTTAGAGGACAGAGGTATGATAAAAAGTAAAGTATCAAAAAAGAAATACTGTAGTGGCCATCCTTTCCATGCCTAGGGTGCTGCTTTTTCTTTCTTACTTTTTCATCTATTTTTCAGCAATGAAACAACCTGAGTGAAATGACTCAACAAGCAGAAGTGTCAGCAAATTAGGGGCCTTTTATATGTTAGAGAAAAGCCTGGAGTTCTTGCTATTCTAGTGTTTGCATTCTGTTTTGCCAACACCATTACTACCCACATTGTTCCCATGTTGGGAAATTAAGGTGTTGGCGTTTGATGATCCTCTTTGCTTCACAGTCCACTTCCACCCTTTTAGTTGTTCTCCACTGACCTGCCTTTAATCTTCAATCCATTTGTTGTATTAATAACAATATGCTTGAATTTCCCTGTTGTTATTTATTTTGTCTTATAGACATGAATTTTATTTCTAGCCTTTAAGTTACCTTTAAAATGTCCACTTAGAACACTGTGCTATTATGAAGGATCTAGTAATAGAGCTGAAAGCATCCAATCCTAGATTTTCCTTCCATCAGTGAACTGGGAAATTGCAATTCTGCATGCTGGCTGTCAATTAGCATTATCTCCATTTGTTTTAGATCCAGACAGGCGGTCAGTTTCCACCATGAATCTTTCGAAACATGTTGATCCCGTCATTAGCAAGCGGCTCTCCTCTTCATCTGCAACTTTGCTAAATTCTCCAGATAGAGGTACAGTCAAAAGGAAAACAAGAAAAAGTGTTCTGTTATTTACTTAATGGTTTTTTTTTTGTGGATGTCTACAGATTAAAAATAAGCATCTGAAGTTGCTTTCCCTACGTTTCTTCAATAGGAAGAAAAAACTTCAGAGTTAAAAAAGCAATAAACGGCTGAGCAGCATTTTCCTTGCAACAAGAACATTTCTCATTGTAGAACTTGGCTGAATGATTTGCATTTAGCAGTGATGGAAGCGGTGCTTCTCTCAACTTTTTAATAAATGAGTTTACAGCTCCAGAAATCACCCACTTATCCACCAACATGCAAATAATCTTTGTTATGAACATTAATTTTACTTTAATCTTACTGTTTCTGACTTTTTATCTGTACTTTGGGAATTCCAGCTTTTGACTTTCTAAAAAAATCTTTTTACATGATTCATGTTGGTAGATTTCATTTTGCTAATTTATTTCTAATTTAACAAACCTTTCTTACTGCATTTCTTATGTGTGTGATTGGGTTTTTTTTTGGTGTCCACTCATTTACTCATAAGGGATTTGACCTAACTTCAAGAATATTATCATTTAAGCCTTTAAAAAAATTTTTAATAACCATAGTCCTCCAATTAATGTTTTGTTTGAATTTTGAGTTTTATTCATCCCATGGATTTACAGTACATGAATGTGGAATTACTTAGAAAATGAAAGTTTTATTTTACATATTTATATATCAAGGAAAAATCAAGTTTTTTAAGATAAACTATTTGTTTTACATAACTGAAATGATTTTAAATAAAAAAACAATTATTGTGCAATATAAAAACACATACTCTTTGAAAGTAACAAATTATGGTTACTTTGAATGCTTTATTTAGAAACTGGGAAAGATTCAGTATTTATAGTCTTTAAAAAGAATGTAATGTGTGCATGTTCTGTATGTGTGTATGTATATTTATGTATTTTGTATTGTATAAAAGTTATGCCAATTTGTAAAGAACATGTTACTTTATGTGTTGATGTCATCTTATAACTAATCTCGTAAAGCAGTAAATGTTTGAATAACTTCCTCTTGCCTTTTAACCTAAACCATTACTTTTTTTTTTTTCTTTTTGCCTATGTCAGTGTTAGACACATAGTCAAATTAGGGGTCTTTTATATGTTAGAGAAAAGTATTATGAATTAAAATTCCGTTCATAAATAGCCTTAATTTTCAAACCCATCTCCTTAATATATAGTAAAATAGAGCATGTGACTGCTGTTCTTAAAGTTGTCCATTCATCTTCTGTTTGGAATTGGACAGTTGTTCAGCACTTTAATTTCACACTTCTGTGAACCTGGTTCTAAGACAAACTACCACTGGGATTTTACAGTACTTTTAAGTTAAACCTTGCTTACTGCTCCTAATAGTCCCATTACTGAAATTGGGTTAAGTTTGGAAGTAGGGAGATGGGCAATGACCGGACAATATTCTATTCATGCTTCTATAGAATGACCACACTGTGTCAACTAGAAATAAGATCTCTTATAGGTTCTGCATGATAGTATCTGATTGGGTATTCTTAAGTAGTAAGATCTTAGAACTGGGAAAAATATGTTGGATGGCTCATTTACTCCAGCTGGGGTAATAGAGTCTCTAGAGGTGAAGGGCTTGACTTAACTATGCTACAGGCTAATTATTGGAGGAGAGGGACTAGGACAGAGATAGCTGCTCCTAAACCATGTGGCTGCACTGCATCTCCTGGTCTTACTCTCATGGAATGTTGAATTACTTATAAAATGAAAGTTTTATTTTACATATTTATATATCAAGGAAAAATCAAGTTTTTTAAGATAAACTATTTGTTTTACATAACTGAAATGATTTTAAATAAAAAAATAATTATTGTGCAATATAAAAACACATGCTCTTTGAAAGTAACAAATCTCATGGATGTCCTTCCTTAGACCAGCGCTGACTCCAGGCGCTCTTCCTTTGGGTGAGGGAAGGGTCAAGGGAAGTTCAATAACCTACTCATATCTGGGATCAGGAAACTGCCTTTTGAATCATACTGCAGGTCTATAAAATCGAATACTAAGCTGGACTAATAGGATAGGCGAGAGAGCACTAAATGTGGGAGTTCTGCTTCACTGCTCCCTGATCAAAAGAACTGTGACCAGTTCCCAGGTCTGATGGGCAAGGTAGGCGTGGAAGAATGGTTTGGCTTATCCAAGGGCTCCCATACACCAGGAATTTTTTTTTTAACTAGGAAAATCCTCAGTAGGACAGTGAGAGGGCTAGTGAGAATAGAAATTCTTTTGAATTTGTACTTCTCTAATTTAGAAATTTAAGTAATTTAGTTTATTTTCTGCTACCTATTTTTTGAAGCTGGTGGCTATGCTTTATTATCAAATGAGAAGGCATTCTTATCAAATTATTAAATTAGAGGCTGTTATAGACAGATCTGTTAAAAGGATTTACACCATTACTAGATTTGTTTGAGCCCTACAACACAGGCCGTAAGCTGGTATTAAATCGCGGCTCTGACACTATCAAGGTTGACATTCCGCTGGAATGCTCTGCTGGTTATTAAGAATACTAAAGTATGTCCATACTGGTTGGTAAATATCCACTTCTCCAGGCCCTCCAGAGCTGAGAAGTGGCATCCATCGTCTCTGTGCTTGTGCCCTACCAGTCTCTAAATATTTTGATCATCACACCTGGATATAGTATCACATAGACTGAAAATGCTCCAAGCTGAAGGAAACCTCTGATTACCAAGAGATTCTATACTTGCTCCAATAGAGAGAATATTGCCACCTGAAATTTTTGCACTGAAAGTGTGTATTTCTTAATGTTAAGCTACCTGCTTAACTGGCTGTTTTCTCAAGGAAGAATAGGGAGTTTGCAAAAAGTTAATCAAGTTGCCTATGTTTGCTTAAAATTAGTCCATACATTCTTTTCTAGAATCTAGGTCAGAGGAGCAGCTGGTAGACCTAAAGCTGAATTCTGTCCCGCAGGCATGTTCTGTTTGACCCGAGCAGAGTTCTTGTCATTGTTTTCCTGTTTTCAGTGGAATTCATTGCCATCACTTAAAAAATCAAAGATTTCATATAATATTTAGGTTTCCTGCTTCTTATGTAAAATCAGGTTCTGGCAACAGTTGCCTGATGTCTGCATGGCACCCATTATCTAGAACAGAATAGTGGTTTCCTGCGTATGGGGATGTGTGGTAGTGCAAGTATCTGTAATATCTGTCTCCCCTGGTCTTGGATGGTCTAGTAGAAGAATTGTCAGTATCTCATTTTTAACTGTTTAAATAAATCAGCACGATAGAGTTGTCTCATGAAAATTAATACCTCTTTTGACAGGAGTTTGTCATCATCAAACCTCTCTAGATGAAAAACAAAACAATAAACTAATTTTCCTATTCTAACCTTTACTAAAAAAAAAATCTCTCTCTTGCTCAGGGTGTGGTTATGAATGTGGTGGAAGTGGAGTCCTGTTTCTCCTAGAGAAATCTTTCATTTACTCTGTCGGAGCTATAAAACAAATCTCTTTGAATTTGTATTAAACACAACTCAGAGAGTTTTTAATGATCTTCATTTGAGACATATTCCTTCATTGATGCCTTAATCACTCACAGAAGGAAAGTAATTGAACTTCTTAATCGAGGGGGGAATGAAGTCCTTTCAATGATAAACCATCTCTGTATTTCTAAACCAATCATCCTACAGAATTTTATCTAAGAAAAGGGAGGATTCCTCTCTTCTTCCCTTTCTTGTCTATTGAAAACATAGTTCTGTTGAAGATTTTCATTTAATCCTAATCACTTTTCCCCACTGATTTTATTCTGGGAATGTACTTTAATTTTTGGTTACATTTACTTCATTGTCGATACATGATACACACTGCCATACTACTGTTTATAATAGCACTTACCCTACTGCCATTCTACTAACTGTGTAACTATTACAGTAGTTTTTATTACAGATCTTTTTATTTATGTCTAAATGTCAGATATGATCGTTTTACCATGAAGACTCTCCTAATAAACGGAAAGTCTAATAAATAGTTCACTGATTCTTAAATTCACCAAAACCTTGATCAAAACAGCCACTCTCAAAGTCAAATAATTAAGGTACTTAATGGAGTTCAGTACTTCCTTTCAAACAGGAGAGGTTGTTTTCTTTAACAACATTTTCCATCAGATGGCTCCTAGTAACTAAAACTAATTTCCTGGAATTTAAGGTCATTCCTTTAAGATAAGATATATAAAGATCATGATAAAAACAATTGCTGCAGAGCCAAGAGGATTTGCACCTGCTGCTTGTGGAACAGAAGTGGCCTTGTCTGGTTTAGACAGTTTTTAAAGACTTTTTATAAGTGACTTGGGAGTATGTTCTAAAATAGACATACATGATCACTTTACTTTAGTGATATTATAGGATTTTGTGAGCCCCTTTCCTGACATTTTTGGAAAGTAGTACTATATGTTCACGGACCATCACTGGAAGCTAACATTATAAACAAAGTAATTAATTTGTAATGAGCATGCATTTCCTAACAGTGGTCTTGCCATGTCCCAATACAATTTGGGACTATATTTCATTGCATTATTTTAAATTTATTTTCCAAGTTATTTATACATCCACTAGTAATAACCTAATAAGTTTATATTAGATTTTGGCTTTTCTTATTAATTTGATCTTGCTTCAACTTTACCCTCATCCTCCGCCAGAACTTTTATGTTGCCAAACCAGGGACCTGAATGAACCCAGTTTGCTGAATGGAAAATCAAAAGGAAATCCCATACAGAACTTTGCATGAGTCTTTTTCATTTTATTATATCTAATCTCCCCCAATTGCCCCAAGAGCCAGCAAAATTTAATGAAGATGCTTTATATCTTCATTAAAACAGGAATTTAGTCTTTTATTAAGCTGTGAAAGCCTCTGCTAAAGCTGGTTATTCAGGGTGGCTGAGGTGTGTGCCATCAACCCACTGTCCATCCTGATTAGTCAATGACACATGCCACACCTGTAGCTGAAATGATATTTCTCTTTGCCATCTGTTGATGCTTAAAAGGAGAATAGTTAGTAAAATCTGCATTCATAAAACTAATACAGAGTCACCACAAACTTAACATCATGACACAAGGCAGCATTACAGAATAGCTGCTCCTCTGGGCAGAGTTCCTGTCGCCCTGCCTCTCCGCCAGCTGTCTTCCCTGGAGAGCCTGGTCTCTTGAAGGCCTGGCATGTGGAAGCGATAGGTATGTTACTCTGCACTCTCTTGCTCCCAGAAAGATTGCTTCTAACATCTCGCTTATGTGGTGACGTTTAGCTCGCCGCCTGCAGCTCAGTCCATGGGAGAGCAGCGTTGTTAACAGACTGCTGACGCCCACACATTCGTTCCTGGCCAGAAGTAAAAGCACAGCTGCCTTGTCTGGAGATACAGGTAAAACTATCAAGGTGCAACTTCCTTGGTGAGGTAAAGTCCTCCCTTTGAAGCATGTCTAAGCCGCCAGCATCCATCTAATCACATCTTGGATTTTCCTGTTAATGTGCTTCTCTCTCTTCTGGGTGGAATGGCTTTGGAAACGTGTCTGTTGGTGTCATTTTCATGCCCCTGGTATTGTTTCTTCACATCTGCCTCAGCATCTTATCTGGACACCAGATGCCAGACAGGCAAAGGATGCCCCTCCCCATGATCAGATGGCTTCAGATGCTTCTGTCTGTTTATAACATCACCAAAAAAGGCTATCCTTTACCTACCTTTCCTTCTGCCTCTGTATTTGAGCAGATGATCAGAGGTAAAAATAACTGAGTTTAATACTAACATGTGGACTTGGGAATAAATCAGAGCACAAGCCAGTTTAAGCATAGTGTTTCATGATGTGGCTGTGGGCTACTACTTATCCTCCCTGCACCAGTCGTTTGTATGTAATCTAGGAAATGGTATGCTTTCAGATTTCTAAGAATTGTAGAGAAGGCTAATTACATTGCTCTTTTTTTGTTACATACTTTGAAAATATCTAAAATGTGCCAAGTACTGGTTATTATAACTAGTTATGTAACTCCTCTACTTTCCTGAAATGCAAAACATGCCTTCATGAATCAATTAGTTTAATGAGAGGTTAGTATAGAGCTGAAAGCTAGCTAAAAGGAAACATGGCTTTTGGTAACATCTCTCATGGTGAATTTATTTGGATTTTCCCAAATATCTCTGGGCACAGTTGGTGTATCTATGTGACCAGTCTGCCAGCCCTCATCTTTGGCATTAGGAAATTGCATAGCCTCTTCATAAAGTTCCCTTTTAAAATGCTGTGCCTCACCAAGCCTTTTCATGTTCATTAACCTTCTTTACAAATAATAATTCTTAGTGGTTTTATAATGTCTTTCATCTGTGGTGCCCAGTGAGCTATCAACCCTAATTCTCAGAATACCCTGGGAGATAGTCAAGAAAACAAGTGTGGGCATTCCTACCACCTGCCTGTAGAAACTAAGTACAGTGACAGTGACTTCTACCAGAGTCACTTAGAAAACTGGAGGACTGGATCTTAAATGAGTTTATCTCTCCATGCTTTGTACCCTGAATGATTCTCTTTGCAATTGTGCATTCAACTAGCTGAACCACAGTATTCTGTGTTCTCTGTAAGGTAACTCACCTGTCAACTATCACACTGCATCTGAGATTTTTCTGGAGTAAAAAGTACTGCTTTTTTGTTTGCCTATGAGTGTCACACTTTTACACAAGTCATCTTTATGTCCAGCTAACTGAAGAACTTTTACAACTCTTTTCAGTCCTATTTCATAGGATCTAAATAATTTATGGCTATCATGCTTCTGAAACTCCACATTGTATGTTATTTCATAGTAAAGGACCTGCCTCACAGAAAAAATTCTTTCTTTGCTATTTCATCACTAACTTTTGTCAATTTTTTCATTCTTCCTCTAGTCTTTTCCAACACCATTTCCTCATTTTCCACTCATTTTATTTGCCCACATTTCCATCTTCCTTGTTCACTGTTCTGCTCAATCAAAGTATGTTGTATCTGCTAACTGGCTCTTCTTTACTTTGCAACTTCTCCATTATCATTTTCACAAATGAATAAATTTCTGGAATTATTTTAGTGTAAGCAATGTATAGCCTTTACTTGAGTTGCCTGTTTTATTAATACATTCCTTAGGTCATTGTTACCTCTTATTGTACTGACAATAAGCTTATGTTTAAGGAACCCACACTGTTGGTTTTTTGAAATCTCCCATTGAAATTATATATATAAACATCTCTTACATGTTCTTGTCAAAAACACCTTTTTCATCACTTATATTGTTCCACTTGTTTTCCGGTTATTCTTTCTCCCCATTTCACTGTTGTCCCTTGGGTTCATCTTATATCCAGTTGCCACTGGCAAGAAGATGACCTCTGTCCAGAGCCAGGGTTACAATAGCAGATCCAAACAGCCATCCTTCCCCCATGATTGCAAACTTCCAGAACAAGCAATAGGAGCAGTTGAAAATTGGAAATCAGAGTCCCATACCTCTCATTTCTGGCCACTGCTTTGGGTTGACTTTTCCATATCCACTTTTTTAAGTCCATATGATTATTAGAACTCAGGATTAAATGAGTTAATACATGTAAGATCCTTAGAATAATACCTGCACATAGTAGACATCAATAACGATTATTAATATTATTATTTTATTACATAATTTTCCTATTCTCTATACAATCCCCCAACCACTTGAACTGCAGTATCTTTTCTCTCTACCCATTATCTTATAGAAAGTTTTGAATGAGTTATACTAATGCAGACTTGCTACCAAAAAGAGAAGGAAATACAGATATTGTGGAAGACCTCCTCAAAGACATTCGTAAAAGAATTTTCATGTTAAATAAACCTATTCCAGGACATGGAGGGCACTCTGGGGGAAAAAATAACTATACATAACTCTTACTGTTTCTTCAGAAGAACAAGATTATTAAAATAATTGGTTTAAGGTCTCAGGTTTTTCAGTAGTTGCTGTGCAGAAACAATAATGAATTCCATGAAATGTAATATCCTTAAAAGGAATTTGTGTTTGTTTTAGCCAGACAGTGTTCCTTGAACAATGAAATGTGAGGATTTTGTATACACTACACCAGATAAGTTTAAGGATATTTTCTTCCTTTGCTTAATTCTACCACATCACAATAATGATGATGGAACCAGAGACATGATGAAATTAGCTTACATTGAGGATGGTCTCCAGAAATGCTCTATAGATGCCTTCTGAAATTATTATTTACCACTAGAGGAAGAAGAAATCATACTTGCGTGATTCATTCCTTTTTCAGAGCCAGACCAGTAGCCTCAGAGTAGGCCTGTTGTCTGGGGTTTCCTGATCATGGATCAAGGGTAATGGCCCCTGGCCATGCCTCTCCTTGTCATTCATCCCACAGGAGTGCCTTGTGCCAGGATGTTGGTCTTTAAGTGCATTTGATGGGCTTGGAAGAATTTTGCATTAGTGAATTCTTTCCCTCTCTGGGGGACACAAATATTTCGTTGTGGCACTTGAGAAAAGATTATTTTCATATAGTTACCCTTGTGATCACAAGCACAATGACAAAAGGTTCTCCTTTCTCACAATACAAAGGAAACTTCCTTCACCATTAAGGACCATAGCAAACCATTATATCACGTACTCTCCTAAAGAGAACTGAGGGAATGCAAAGTATGGTATTTTATCCTGAGTAGAGTTCTGTTTTCAGTTGATGGGAAAAGAATGCAGTTTCCAGTCTATTCACTACCTTGACCATTCAGTTATAATCAAAAGATTCTGCTAGGCATTTAATGAAAGTGAGCACATGAATTAAAGATGTAACTTGATTGATTTTCTGTCTATAGGTCAAACCAAAACAGCAAATACTTTATAATTCTGAAATTAAGAGCTGTAATTCTTAAGTATTTTCATAATTCAAGAGTTGTAAACTCTTGAGTTTTTTAAATTTAAGCATTTGCTATGATGGCTAGAGTTGGGTAAAGTTTGTGTATTTATTTATAACATCCAAATACATAGTATTTTCCTCAGTTTGTCTTATTTTTTGCTGGAAAACAAGATTTCTGGGTAAGACCTGTAAAAGAACTATGGAACCTTAGTACCTACTCTTCTGATACCTACACAGTGTTGTATGAATTTCTTTCAACCCATTGTTGCTTAGAATCACTTGATCAATGACAGTGTTCCTTTGAAGGTGAATGGTTAGAAACTGTGGTTTTTCAAAAAATATTCCATCCTGAGTAAAACTATAAAAGCTATTCATGGTTCAACTTTATTTTTCGCAATTCTAACATATGTATGTTCTATTCACTGTTTTAAGTGATCACATTCCCATTTCCCCATTTGTTCTTCTGCTGCTTGTTATGAACCATCAAATGCCTTGGCTTTGGGGAAAATCCAGAGCATGCATTTGATTTGCCTTTAAATAGACAAAACAGCAACAGGATTTTTTTTTTTTTTTGGAAATTATTACTTATCCTATAACAAGTCTTAACATCTGGTAAGACTTGGTCATAACATTTTAAAAATTCACTTGCTTTTTTTCCCACTGGCTGTTGAACTTAGTCCTGAAATACCTGGAGTGTATCTTGCTTGCCTGCTTGCTCACTTCCTGCTTTCCACCTTTTGTTCCATCTTTAAGCTAATTAGAAGAAATCTGATTTTAAACAGTTCTCATATAAAAATTATATCACTAATGTAGCATTTTACCAGAACCATCAGTTTATAGGAATATAATGCCATTGCTTTCCATTATTATTAGATTATACCTATAACTTTAATCAGTATTTAAATAGCCAAATAGCTTATATATTCCAGATTTTTCATTTGAATGTTCCTTCCTTTGGACATACCACAAACTGATAGGACTATGAGGAGAGTTGAGTATGATGGTTCTGGACACCTTTAGGTAATAATATCTTCTCCCTACTTTTCTCTCTATCTCTGCTTTGCTCCTTTTCCTGATCCTGCTTTTGGCTTTTCTTCAACTTCTCCTCTGGCACTCTTGTGTGTAAAACAATCACCTGCACCCTAGTTATCCCCATTTGTCCTCGTTCAGCATCTTGCAGCCCCATCAACATCACGCCCTACAAAGCTGCCCATTCTAGAAATACGATGGATCGACCAAAATTCTGGGTAACACCACCTGAGGGCCCCGCACGGAGGAGGACTATTCATGGCACAGCGGTGAGTAGCTGTCGGGGCAGACAGGCGAGCCTGCTGTTTGTGTGCAGAGTGGGCCCCACCCCGAGGGGCAGTGTGGACGCGAGAGTGAGTGGCGGCACCCACCGTCCCATCCATTCCCACCAACCTCAAATCTGGTGGCCAGGCGGTAGTGTCCCCACACTTTCTCTCCACTCGGGAATTTTGCTCCCACTCAAAAGTGAAAAGTGAAAACTTCATTGTTCAAGCATGTAAGAGTGGCTAAACTACCGCCTTTGAAGTTTGAAGGGAAAGTGAGCCTGGACTGCCGTTTCTGCATTTTATTCCAACCCTATTCAGAAGCTGGCTGAACTCTTAACTGTGGTTCACTGAAAAGCAGGATGAAGAATTTTCATCTGCTTAGCTAATCCCTGGTAAGACCCAGATCTTAAAATACAGTGACAAAGTATTTTGAAAACAGTAGTTATTCACTAAGTAACTACTTCTTGCAAG